CTAGAAGAATGTCTTGTTATCTGTAAGAGACAACAATGAGCACCACAACAATGGCACTTCTAATATCTCAATCATACACCTAGACCTGCAGAGAGAAACAATTCCTTACATAGAAGATCGATCACACACACACACACACACACACACACACACACACACAAGCAGCCTCAACTAATGGTAAGAGAACATGTACAGCGGCTAGAGACAGAGACATGTCTAGTAAAAAGATGACACGTGTACCTTGAGGAGTGAGCGGCGTGTCCCGGCAGGTGAATGGCCACTGACACAGAGGCAGCATGTATTCCGTGTTTTATATTTCAAAGCAGGAATGCCCTGTGCCCTTGGCATGTAAACCCGCTTATCTATCAGCGCAGTATATTTTTGATTCCTTGGTGTCTTTGACCTCAAACATCTGGTTATACTGTAACCAGCCCTTCCCCGATGTAGGGGAAGACGAGGCAGATCGCTGATAGAGAAGATACACCTTAACCCTGCTGTGGCCAAAGCTGTGCTACTAGCTGTATATTTGCTACCAACTCCATCTATAGAACTTAACCACTTGCTGACCGCGGTGTTACACCCCCTTCCTGGCCAGGCCATTTTTCAGTATTCAGCGCTGCGGTACTTTGACTGACATTTATTCCGTTATGCATTGCTGTACTGAAATGAATTGTATACCATTTTTTGGGGACAGATAGAGCTTTCTTTTGGTGGCATTTAATCACCACTGGGGGATTTTATTTTTTACTATGTAACAAAAAAAGTACCTTAAATTTTGAAAAAAAAACCTGTTTCCCTATGAAATGTAATGAAACATTTATTATCACCCCAATTTTTGGGTAAAATATAAAAGACGGGGTCACGTCGGGTAAATAGACACCAAACATGTCAAGCCTTAATATTGCGTGCGCCCGCAAAATCGCAAAAAAGACGAACACACCGAAAATTAGCCATAAGCAATGCTTTAAACGCTTTTACTGCTCATCAGTTTAGTCTTATCAGTGATTAATTGCCCTAAAATGATTGTTCTCACTGCGACGTTCACGGTGATATGTACCATGTGCGGCACAATAGGAGCAATAGTCGTTTTCGCAAATAGGCGCACCCAACGCATGTCTCCGTGTGTATGTGGGGGGTGGGGGACTTTAAAAAAATGTAGTGGTTTTTGTTTAATTTTTTTGGGTTACACTTAACTTTATTGCTATCACATGGGGGGATAAGAATTCCCCTATGTGATAGCCAATTTACATGACAGGTCCTCTTAATGGAGACATCAGGGATCTCCAAGAACCCTAATGTCACCTAGGGACCCCCAATGAAGCTGATGAAGCAGAGATCTTCTTCACCAGCTTCTGTAGCTGGGAATGACAGCCGAATGCGGAAGTATATACATCACTTCCTGCATTCGGGGACCGGAGAGGAGATCAGAGGGAGATTGTGTACTATCTCCCTTTGATCTCCTTTCACAGAGCAGCTGTGCCGGTCCCTGCAGCACCAGGCACAGTGGATCTCGGGACCGGCGACAGCAGTGAGAGTGGCAGCAGCAGGGGGGTGGGTTGCAGGGGGTAAAACCGTACCATACAAACGATTGGGCGTGATTGCTTGTATGTAAACAGTATGTGCTCGCTTGAATGTAAACAGCCATCGCTGTTCACATTTTTGACAGTTCTAAGCCTTGTTCACACCAAATGCAGAGCAGATCTGGATGAGTTTCTGCACACGCAGTGCAGTGGGTTGTGCCGCGCTTTTGATGCGTTCCGGGAGGTTTTTGGTAAAAAAAAATAAAAAAATGTTTTTTTATTTTAAAATGGACTTTCAGTGCGTTCCAGACATTTGCATGCGTTTTGATGTGTTTGCATGCGTTCTAGAGCAGGTAAAATAGGGCCTACTGCAGTTTTTTTACCTGCTCTGGACCTGAACACTGCGATGTGAACTGGAGCTAAAAATACCATTGTAATACATTAGACGCAGTTTTGCTCCGGTCTGTAACTGCTCTGCTCTGCACCTGCTCCGTGCTTGGTGTGAACAAGGCCTTACAAACTCATGTGCGTGCTGAGTGCCACGCACGAGTGGGGGAGGGGAAGGACATCTAAAGACACCCACCTACTCCTATAAGGCTCCCGTCCGGCCGTTTATCTACGGCAAGCGGACGGGAGGTGGTTAAAAAAGAACTCTGGGAATTTAAAAAAAAGTACCCTTGCTGTAGGGCTAACCCTGCACTGTAAGGGTTAAATGATAGGATTGTGTAGAGCCTTGGTTCTAAACTGGTGGCTGGTAACCCAAAAGTGGGTCGTGACCCTGTGTTCAGTGGGTCACCGAGTGCCTTCCACTATTCGAGGTGAAAGGCTCCTCAGCCTCACCCAAACGCAGCACTGTCAGTTCTCAAGCCAAGCAGCCATTCAAAATATACTGCCTGGTGCTCAGTGTAAGCTTGAGATGAGGTGAGATGGGAATATAGCCGTGGGGGAGCTCCATCCATACGTACATTGCTTACGTGTTCTATGGAGGTGCCTGTACCAGAGTGACGTCACATTCTGGCTCCCGCCACCTCTACAGGGCGCACAAGGGAGCTGTACAAGCAATGCACATATGGATGGAGCTCCGTCACAGCACAGCAACCCACGCTGGACCCCAGGCTGAAGATCCACCACAGTTCCCGTAAGGTAGGGAGACTGGGTGGATCTTTGCATTTTTTTTGGGAGTATGTATGTGTGTGTAAGATTGTGTCTGTGGTTGTGTGCGTCTGTCAGTGTTTTTGAGGGCCCTTTCACACTACTACAGTGTGTTAATCTCACACTCCCATGCGATAAACGCACTGTGCCATGCAAAATCGCACTTACCGCAAATTCTGGCGTGGGAGGTTATACCATTTTTTGGGGACAGATAGAGCTTTCTTTTGGTGGTATTTAATCACCACTGGGGGATTTTATTTTTTACTATATAATGAAAAAAGTATCGAATTTTTTTTTTTAAACCTGTTTTCCTTATATTATGAAACATTTATTAATACCCCAATTTTTTGGTAAAATATAAAAGTCGGGGTCACGTCAGTTAAATAGACACCAAACACATCAAGCCTTGAAATTGCGCACGCCCGCAAAATCGCAAAAAACAACCACACCTAAAATTGGCCAAAGACAACACTTTAAAAGCTTTTACTGGTTATCAGTGATTGATGATCCTAGAATTATTGCTTCCACTCTGACGTTTGCGATGATATGTAACATGTGCGGCGTAATAGGCGCACCCGACACATGTTTGTTTGTTGTTTTTTCTTTTGTGGCTTTAATTTTTGTTTTTTTACACTTAAAATTATTGTTATCACATAGGGGGGATAAGAAGCCCCCTGAGTGATATCAAATTATATTGACAGGTCCCCTTTATGGAGACATCTCTAAGACCCCTGTCACCTGGGGACCCTCAAACCAGCTTCTGTAGCCGGTGAGTGACAGCTGAATGTGGAAGTGAGGTAATAAATATCACTTCCGCACTCACAACACCGGAGGGGAGATCGTGTACGGATCTCCCTGCACAGAGCCACGTGCCGGTCCTGGGCCCACATGGAGCACAGGAAGCAGCGGCGGAGGGAGCGCACGAGGGCACAACGTACAAGCGATCAGGCGACTCTATAGACGCCGGACCTCTTGTATGTAATAAGCCAACTCTGGCTGTTTTAAATTTGGACCGTTTTTCTCGTACGCGGGCACAAAGGACGTTTTAAAACGCCCACCCGCATCTAGAAGGCACCTGTCCGGCTGTTTATGTACGGTCAGCGGGCCGCTGGTGGTTAAATCTAAACTCCAGGCAAACAGCTGAATACACAGAAGCAATACATATATGGGAGGACCTACCAAAGGATTTGTATTTCTGTCCATCCAGTCCTGCAATTTTCACAGCTTTGTCACAGAGCACAGACCTGTCTGCTAGGAGACACTTTCAATTCCCCTTGCCCCACCAAGCAACTGGCTCATCTCCAATCAACGTACTCCTTGCTCTGCAGTACAACTGATTGGTTACTTGTGCTGCTTCTCCCTCACATTTAAAAAATACATTAATGTTGTATCACAGATTACAAAGCTGTATTTGTCTTATAGCTACCTGAAGTTCACCTTGAAAACTACAAATCCCATCATGCACCTGCCTCTGGGAGTCATAACTTTGGCTGGGAGAGTCTTGCAATGCATCATGGGATTTGTAGTTTTACAAATGACAGAGGGCCCGAGTTTGCCTATCCTATAAAACAATAAACAGGCCCGTGGAAAAGTAAAAATCGTTCGGATCCATAAGGAGTGTACAAGCAGGAGAGCTGAAGTGGATGCTGAAAGAAAAGACAAAAGCCTCAGAACTGTCACCGGCCATCAGCTACAGCAGCGCCTCTTTCTCTCTAGGAACCTTCCCTCCTGCACTTGATTCCGGCGGAAGAATTAGATAGCGCACAAATGTCAAACATGGCAGCGCCCGCAAAGTACCGTGCTGTGGAAGGTCGTCGCTGCTGATAAAGCTGGTTTAGCCTCCATTGGAGGTGTATAAAGGAATATGGGTATATGTAACCCGTGTTGGAGGGGGCTGTTCCGTACCAAGGCCGTGTGGCACTCCCGGTTGTGGACGGCCTCATATAAGACAGGCAGGGAGTGCACCCAGTGGATTACACTGCCCGGACTGGGGGTACAGGGGGAAGACATCTTAAAGGGAGTGCTGGGCAGGGGGGCCGTGTGTCATGGATGTCACCAGGACAAGTGCAGGAGGACAAGGACAAAAGGGGGCACAAATAAAGAATGCTTGCACCCCAAGATCTGCAGAACCAACCCAAAGAGACAGCTGGGGAAATCTCTCCTCCATGGGCATCAGAGATCACCGACATGTCTGAGTGACCAACCTGTGTTTTCTGTCATCAGTAGGAGACAGCTCAGCCTTCTGGCTCAGGATGGACGATGGGGGGTGAACCTTCATTCTGCCCATCGGACAATGTCAGGGGGTGACAAGACTTGTACACTCACACACAGATCCCATCTTCATTCTGGTGTTCAGATGTTGTCAGGTGATGAAACTACACAGACACACAGGTCCCGGCCACCTTGGAATGTCATGTTCTTTGGAACTGATCACTTTGCACTGGAGTCTCTGAAATTTCTGCACAGATACAGGTGAACGGCCTCGCTGTGATAAAAATATTGTGAATTCGTGATTTATTCAGGGTCACTTCTTGCATTGTGTACGCTTATTGTAAAAGCTGAACTGGATAAGCAAATACTGTCTACATACAAAAGTCATGTGTATTCCTTGAATCTTGGTGAGCTTTGTGTATTCCGTCACACATTTTAACGTAATCCCGCCCAGTTTTACAGCGGCCGGCTGTAACCCCATTACCCCATCTGCCTGGAACAGCTGATCGGTCCTCAAATGTCACTTCCATTTGACTCTGTGAGTGTGATTTCACATTCCACCGTACTCACGAAGTTGGATAGAAGTGACATTTGAGGACCAATCAGATAGGGTAATGCGGATCGGTTCTCCTGCACATGCGATCTGCAATTCTGATCTGCCCTGGAACAGCTGTCAAAGCATTGGAATGCTTCACCTATTGGCGGTCACATATTCCATCGTTGTAAAACTGGGCGGGATTACGTTAAAATGTGTGACCGGTCACACATTCTAACGTCACAAACTTTAAAAGAACAGCGGCAGCCTGTAATGGGTGGGGCCTGCTGTGTCCCTCCCACAGCTCTGATCTCTGCACAGGCTATTTACAGCATAGGGATGATGTCACTTCTACTTTTATAAGGTAATATCTGGGTTGGCACAGGCATTTGGCGTACACACATTATTAATTAGTATATTGAAATGAAAATGTGTGCCCAGTTTTAAAACAGAACTACACCCTCTTATCCACATCTAAGTAAGGTGCCATCTTATCCTCTATTTGGATTGCAGTTGCCATGGTGCTGCACATGTGATCAGCTATGATATCGGTCATTTGAGGGCTTAAAAGTTCGGTTGAGAGCCGCAATAAGTACACTGGCAACCTTCACAGGTGGCACACCTTAAAAGTAATTGATTGGGAGACCGTTATGTTGGTGGGTTACGTTCCGCTTTAATAACTGCGCTATGGCCCTTTTCTAGCATTGTTGTCCCAACCTTATTCACCCCACACATATAGGAGCTATCGAGGTTTTGGAACTTTTCCATTTCAATATTAAATATGCAGTACCACAGGGTTCGTTCTTGGCACTATGGGGAGAGGTATTTCTTATAATACGCAGAAGATAAATACGATTTTAGATGCCTGTAGGAAGACAAAGTTGTTCAGCAATGCAGTCATGATCCAAATGACCTCTGACCCCCAGTGCTGCCATAGATGGCTCTGTCTCATCTCATAGGGTACAGACAGCTTTTAAACAACTCCAATCAGCATCCCCTCTAAAGGTGGCTATACACTTTACAACCCTGGCAATACTTTTGTCTTGTCAGGGTTGTAAAGTAATTAAAAAAACATACGATCTGCCCATCTTGGACAGGCAGATCGTACTTGCGATCATCGCAAGCCCGCCCCGCTGAGGGGCGGGCGTCCGATGACCGCAATGCTAAACGGGCAGTGTGCGCTTGCGCACACCGGCCCGTGCAGTGTGCGCACGCGCACACTGCCTGTTTGCAGTCATTGGAACCCGCCCCTCATTGCAGTCATCAGAAGCCCGCCCGGGCTTGTGATGATCGCAAGTACGATCTGCCTGTCCAAGATGGGCAGATCGTACGTTTTTAAAATTACTTTACAACCCTCGCAAGACAAAAGTCTTGCAAGGGTTTTAAAGTGTTTGGCCACCTTTAGAGTGGCTGCCCAAAAGTTATTTTGCCTGACTCCATGGATGAGTTGGATCAGGCAACTGTCATCTTCTATCATGGACAGAACAGGGAATATTCATCAGGATGAGTTTTTTTGCTTCCACCGATAACACTTGAAAAGGCTGAAAAAGGTTATTGACAACTGTACATTTTTTATGTGCAATGACAATCTAGCCCCTGGGATTTGTACAGCTCGCTGTCTAAAACTGGAATGTCTGCATTGTCTATAACAAACTCTCGGCTCTTTGTTCCCATGCAGAAAAATGACATAAATTAGATATTGATTAAAGTGTAAGGCAAGCGTAACGCATATTGATAGAGGTGCATGAGCAGACCCACTCTCTCAGGTTTGGATGCTCTGATCCACACCACTCTAAGACCCCGTTCACATGTAGCGAATTATCGCGCGATTTCCGCCGCGATATCGCGCATTTTTGCAGCGCGATATCGCGAGTAGTCGCCGGCCAATGCTATTCAATGGAGCTGTCTTAACTCCATGTCGCTCGTCGCGGTCGCAAGTCGCTTCTACCGGACCCTTTTTTCGGCGGATTTTGCACGATTTTGCCTTTTTTCTATGGAGCCCGACGGAGAAGGTCGCGCTATCGTCGCTGGAACGTCGCCCCGAAAGTCGCGCTATCCCGGCCGTGCGGATCCGCTGTAAAAGGTATGTCACTACGTGTAAATGGGGTCTTACAGGGCTATTCACAAAAATATGAAGAGTTTGGAGGAGACAGGAGAAGTGAACAATCTAGGAAAACATAACTGAACTGGAAAGTGAGCTGAATGGGAGAATGTTTCCAAATCAGCTATGTTGTCCTAGATTGTTCACTTCTCCTCCCTTCTCCAAACTCTTCACCCTTTTGTGAATAGCCCTGTATGTCTCTTTGTCTGGGTATAGTGTGGGTGCTGGCTGAGAGCTGTCCATGCTCCATAGAAAGCGTTGACCTGCTAAGGAACCGCTGCACACCACCAACGTCAACAAAAAACGTTATTTCAATCCAACAGCTGACATGCTCTTCTGTCCCTGCCTGTAGACCAGCCACCTCTGACACATTTCACCCCAACAGGCTTATTCAGAGCAAAAAGGTCCATTGGGGTGAAATGTACGCAGGTGGCCATGCTCCACTTAACCCTTGCGGTTCGGGGGTAGCCCCACTACAAGGGTAAGTTTGCGGAATCCAGAGATTGCCAGGGAACAAGCATCTTCAGAAGGTGAGCAGTTGCAACCTCCATATTTTTCATTGTGTAGTTTCCTCAAAGGAGCACAGCCAAATTACTGTGCAGTTTAGGAGCTCTGATAATTTCCATAGCAGCTGCCTTCCCAGCTTTTGAGACAAGTTTGACAAACCAGCCCTGCAGAACTAAAAATATACAGTGCATACTTGTATATTATATGTCTTATAGTTTATATGTCTAATTTGCCATTTTCATTCTCTTCTATTAAAAACGCAGTAAAACAGAAGAGGCTCTCGTTGGAAGGCTGGAGGTGGTTTCCCTACCGTCTTCATTGCCGAAAGGATTTCCAGTAACAAATTATGCAAATGACCAAGGGCTTCCCGTGCACAAGTGGCCGGACACAGGGCAGTGTAACAAGTTTGATGTGGGAGTAGTGGCTTCGTTCGGGCGACTTCTCAGTGAAGACCTTATTGTAAAATTCCCTTAGTAGGTAAAATACAGTGTATTATTTGGGCGGTCATGTGTCTGATGCTATGCTGACCCGTTGTGTTTTTTTACAGTGGGATCTTGAACGTACACCCTAGTCTCCTTCCCAGGTGGCGAGGACCAGCTCCCATAATGCATACAATGCTTAATGGGGATGAGGAAACTGGAGTCTCCATCATGCAGATTAGACCAAAGAGGTACAGTATAGCAGCTGTATTCTGTAGGGCTAGTTTGACCTTGATAGGGTGGCTGAAGAGTTCTTAAAGGCCACTGCTTCACTGTGCTAGCAAGTTTGAAATCTTAGAGAGTATCAGGGTTTAAAGTTTGTTACCCTTTGAGTGTAGCAGTGCTGAGAGTCTATTCTATTCCTACCATTGTAGATAATACCTCGGATATAACTCATATACCACATATCATTTCTTACTGGACTCAATCCACCATGGGGGCTAAGTAAATGCAAAAGAAAAATTGCTGTTGGTAATAGAAACAGCAAGAAATCTGATTTGTATGCACAGCAGCTCCACGTTATCATAAATGAGACCCATAGTATGTTCAGCATTGGTTGGAATTATTTTTGATGTGATTTATTTTTATTTGTGTCTGTTTAGGTTTGATGTAGGTCCTATAGTGATGCAGCAGACACTCCCTGTTCCTCCTATGTGCACTTATAAGGAGCTGGAAGCAATGCTGTCTGAACATGGAGCTGAAATGGTAAGGGCTCAGCAGCCTCTTGTGAGGTAGATAGTCAATATGAAGGAAGGACCAGCACTCCAAGATAAGATATGTGGTGCTTTAGTGAGAAATCAAATGAGCACAATGCAAAGTACCAACATTTCAGGGTCTCAAAGGTGATAACATGCAATTGTAGCCATGTTGTTTTGAGCATGTTATTCCCTTGACAGGGGGGTCCTGCGAGCCTCTCGCATGCTAATGTTCCCACTGTGTTTGTATGATTTCATACAGATAGCAATTTAGATTGTAAGCTCTCATGGGCAGGGCCCTCCGTACCATCTTGTCTTGAATTGTATTGTAATATCTTCCCTATATTGTAAAGCGCTGCAACTGTTGGCGCTATATAAATCCTGTATAATAATAATATTCAGAACAATAGCACAAATGTTATTAGAGAACTGGACTTTCATTCATATTACTTTACAGTAAATGTGTCACTGCTACTGCAGTGATGGAAATGTCCATTAAAGTGTGCGGGATGATAACAAGGTGGACTTTCCCTTTTTTCTCTTTTTTTTCAGCTTGTATCCGTTTTGAAAAATCTACCTGATTGTTTAAGCGTCGCTAAAGACCAGCCAAAAGAAGGTGTAACATTTGGTAAGTTTTTTCCTGATAACTTTTTCTTTGCTAACAGTGTTTTGTTAGCAGTCAGATTTGATGATTATATTGGCCAGGAAAGTCCCCTTAATGAAGGGAGAACAGTTTCAAATGATGATCAGGAATGAGGGGAAAGACACAGTGATCTTATCCATGAATGAAATAGAGGTCGGAATCAATAGCTCAGTCTCAGTGTTTGCTGATGATACCAAGTTATGTAGTGCAATAACTTCACAACATGACATACAGGTGAAACTGGAATAATTAGAATATCGTGCAAAAGTAATTGCAGTAAGTGCTGCAAAAGGGGCCCAAACCAAGTACTGAGTACATATGCATGCTTGTACTTTTCAGAGGTCCGATATTGTTCTATGTACAATCCTTGTTTTATTGATTGCATGTAATAATCTACTTTTTTGAGGTTGTGGATTTGGGGTTCTTGGGGTTTTCATTAACTGTAAGCCATAATCATCACAATTATGACAAATCACGGCTTGAATTATCTTGCTTTGCATGTAATGAGTCTATCTCATATATTAGTTTCACCTTTTAAGTTGCATTAGTGAAATAAATGAACTTTGCACGATATTCTAATTATTCGAGTTTCACCTGTAGAATCCTACAGCAAGACCTAGATCAAATTAAGGAGTGGGCTGCAACATGCTATTCAATATTTATATATGTAAGGTTATGCACTAGAGAGCGCATGTATGCAAAATACACATTATAGGATGGGGGAGGGTGCAACTCTGGCCTTCCAGCTGTGCTTTAACTACAAATCCCAATATACCTCTGCTTCTGGGAGTCATGTCTGTGGCTGTCAGTCTTGCAATGCCTCATGGGACCTTCAGTTCCACAACAGCTAGGTGGCCTCCGTTGCCCACCCCTGCTTTAGAAGGTGCTCCGTTGGGGGTGGAGAAAGATCTGGGGGTCCCTTTAGACCACAGACTCAGCACCAGAATGCAATGCCAAGCTGCATCTAACAAAGCGAGCAGAATACTATCTTGAATAAAAAGAGGGATTTTTGCAAAGGAACAAAAACATAATTTGACCACTTTATAAATGACTGGTTCGGCCACATGTTGATTATACCATTCAGTTTTGGTCACCAGTCCTCTGGGAGGATGTCCTTAAACTAGAGAAAGTTCAGAGATGGGCAACAAAACTAATAAGGGAGAAGGGCCCAAATTACAGAGATCGACTACAAAAATTAAACTTGTTCTCCTTAGAGAAGAGACACAGAAGAGGGGATATGATTGCAATGTACAAACTCACTGCAGTCCCCATTGATATTGGGAATAAACTGTTTCAACTAAGATCTCTGAAGAAGGCATGTGGACAGAACATGAGATTGGGTGCGTTTCGGTTTAATTTTAGACTGCGTAAGTGACTTTTTACTGTCAGAGCAGTAAAAATTTAGAATTTATTTCTGCAGTTGATTCAGTTGAAAGTATTGATAAATTCAAAAGTTAGTTCACTAAATATACAGAGATATGGGAGTTGTTAGGAACATGTGTACACACTCTGCTATACATAACCAATGAGCTACTCCCTGCTCAGTGGCGGGCAGCGTGGTGATGGATCTCTTACAGGTGGGTCGTGTTGTCATTCCGTTGTTGTGAATGATGAGCCCTGTCATTAACCACTTCCGGGCCGGCCCGGAGCTCTCTAGATCTGAGCGGGCGTATTTAGACGTCCGCTCAGACACACCCCCTCGCGCGCGCCCAGCGGGAAAAGGCCGAAATGTAAAAACAGGCAGCGATGCCTCTTACCATACAAGCGATAAGTCCCCGCCCCCAATTTTTTTTTAAAGTTACACATAAAAAGAATAAAAAAAAACAAAAAATATTTTTTAAGTCCCCACCCATACATACACGCATGCAAACATGCGTCAGGGGCGCATACGTGCAAAAAAAGACGATTGCGCCCATTACGCCGCACATGTTACATATCGCCGCGAATGTCGCAGTGAGAGCAATAAGTCTAGGGCCATCAATCACTGATAACACTAAACTGATGAGCTGTAAAAGCTTTTAAAGTGTCGCCAATGGCCAATTTTGGGTATGGTAGTTTTCTGCGATGTTGCAGGTGCGCGCAATTTTAAAGCTTGACATGTTTGGTGTCTATTTACCCGACGTGACCCCGACTTTTATATTTTACCAAAAAACTGGGTAATAATAAATGTTTCCTAACATAATGTAAAAAAATACTTTTTGTTTTCCAAAATTTTCTGTAATTTTTCCTAATTATAGTAAAAAATAAAACCCCCAAAAAATGGTATAGAATTCATTTCAGTACAGCGTTGCATGACGGAATAAATGTCAGTCAAAGTACCGCAGCACTGAATACTGAAAAATGGCCTGGCCAGGAAGGGGGTCTAAACACCTGGTCTTCAAGTGGTTAAGAACAGCACAAGCTGCCTGTAAAGGATCAATTGGCTACAGTGCTATTATGTAGCTGCCCCATAGAAGTGCCCATAAATTGGGGTTCAGTTTAGGGAGGAGGAGCTTATAACCAGCAGAAACATAAATCAATTGTCCTTTTGGTACACAATGTGACCACGGAGGATCAGCATGGGACCAAGTGCTCCATGCACTTGGTGCTCTCGGGGATTTCACAAGGATTTAAAATGATGTTGCTTCTTCTCCAAGCCTGTAGTTGTAGCTGTGTGTAAATCAGTATAAAATGCATACTGAACATGTATGAGAGACCCTGTAAGCACACTGACAGTCTCTGAAAAGAGCCTCAAATATACTACAAGTTATTTTTTAGGTGGCTATAATGAAGGCTGACTCTTCCATTTAGCAATCAGAAAGGGCATTGTAAGACAAACAGCAGAGGAACGGAGGAAGGTATACATCCGCTAAAACCCTTGTGATGTATATAGTTACATAGTATTTGAGGTTGAATAAAGACATTAGTCCATCAAGTCCAACCTATTAGGATCTCGTTCTAGGAGTACCCGTACCCCTGTATATGACGGTCCCTTAAGAAATCGTCCAAAAGTTTCTTGAACAATTCCACAAGTTCACTGCAGTTCCATATCCTTGAATGTGCTGAGGGCTCTAAGTTAGCTGGAATAGACCATCTGCAGCCCCAAAACTACCTGCATACTGAGTAGGGTCTAATGTTGCAGCTCCGCTTGTTTTTTTTCTTTTCAGCCCCCAAGGTCTCTGCTGCCGTTAGCTGTGTCAGATGGGAGGAACAGACTCCAGAGGAAGTCATGCGTCTAGAACGTGCTGTTGGATTTGTGGTAACCAGTTTACAGTCACTTTCCAAATGTCTAATAAACTGCTGAAGGTTTCATTGTTTACATTGATTTTTGGGCATACAAGATGGATTCACAATCGCTTGTTTTTAGACATGCAGGATATGTGTGCTGGGCTTTCTTGGTTAAAGCCCCTATTTTGCTGTCTTTCTTTCTATGAGAAATGTTAAAGTGAAAGTTAAAGCTCAACTCTAATCAGATATAAACGACACACATGAATGCATCTTGGTATTCATTCAATAAATCATTAAATGTATTCCTTTTAAATGACACTGGTGTAATGACCTGAAATAGACTTGATATTTTCCAATCCCCTGTACAGCAGCACTCAGACTGGAAGCCAATTAGGTGTGCTGCGTTCAAATGTGCTGAGAAGAGAAAGCAGAGTATGTAGAGAGATGACCTCATTGATTTCCTGCTGCTCATTCACTGTCCACTCAGCAATTGGGATTGAAAAGACACCAATTTATACCTCCTACTGTCTATAACTCTACAGTGGTGTCATGCACCTGGCTGTGCTGTCTGGCAGGGCTGTGTATATCTCAGGCCTGGAGAGACAGGAATACAAATACTTTGTGAGGTAAAACAGCTCTCTTGTATCTATTTAATCTGTGTATTTAGCTGTTTGCCTGGAGTTCTGCTTTAAGGCATCGGAAAAAAGATAAAGGACTATTGGTTAACAATTGTTGAGATAAGACTTCAGCCACAAAGTCAGTTTAGTGTGCACACACACTGTGGTCTTTTTTCATGGGGTCCCACTCTTCCTGCTAGATTTTTTTTTTTTATTTTGCATTATGAAGGATGTACAGTAGCTGAACCCCCAAAAACTTGCAGGTAAATTGCAACTGAGTCAGGAATTATGGCAGGGAGATCTTGCTGTTGGAGTATCCAAGTCATAATAAGCCCCCTAGGCTCCAGTTATATGCAAAATGTCACTTTGGGTAGGTGGACTGCCAGTTTAATGCAAATGGATATTTCCAAGCTGATCACTTTCACATGTATATTAAAGTAACTGAAAATATATTTTCACTTTAACAAGCAGGTAAATCTGATAACATATCCTTTGAGTGTATTGCAATTCCATCAGATATGGAAGCATTTTCTTCAGGTATAAGAAGTTGTATGTGAATTCTGTAATGCGTCTCCTCCAAAATATAATTGCATTCTCTGCTTTGTTGTAGATGCCACTTCAAGCAGTATGGAAGGGCTCTCCTATTAAACTGCTCAATTTCGTAGAAGTCCCCGATTCATTGATCAGTTCAGGTTTGTTGAATGAATTGTATTTGATGCAATTGCTGTAGTTACTATTCTCAGTAAGCAAAGTGTCATAGCAATCCACTTTGTGGTGATGTATCTTTGTACAGCCTATTTATGTGCCACACTGAGGAAAATCTGTTCTGTACCTGACACAAAGCTGCTCATGTTTTCTGAGACCAATGGAAAGAAAACGAACATAAAACCATGCCGTGTATTTTTCTGTACTGCTCATTATACCGTCAGCCATTTTTTGTGTCAGCAGCACTGGTCCTGATGGCTCCATTCTTTATTTTTTTAGCTTCTGTTTGTCTTGTCCCTTATAACCATTTAACTGTTAACAGCAGGGAGAAATACATTAGGTCACCTTGGCATGCCAGCTGTTTTGGAACTACAAGTCCTATGAGGCATTGCATGTCTCTGGCAGCAACAGGCATGATGGGATTTCACGTTTCACTACTGCTGGAGTGCCTATGCCTGCTCTAGGGCCTATTCACACTATAGTAAAACACAACTTTTACTGCAAGAAATTGCATTTTGGGTGGAAATATCATGCTTTCCATCTATGTGGACAGTATAGTGTGTTTTAAAAGGAAATTATAAGGGTGTTACCACATGCAATACATACATAGGCATGAATTAGAGTAGAGGAGCACACTCGGAAAATGTCAGGAGGAAGCAGAAAAGGACCAATCTGTTAAGACTAGAAAAAGAGTACAGATGTGAAGTTGTCAATAACAACCTATTAGACTGGATTTCTGATTGGTCACTATGAACAATAACTCCACTTTTGTGTTCATTTTCTTTTTCCCAGTTTTAATGAATCAGCCCCAAAGTAGCAGCTGCTCACATTCATTCATACCTAGCAGAGGAAAGTCTTAGTGTGTTTCATTGAATTTTGAGGAGGCTTACTCCCTGTGAAACACGTTGGTTTCAAATTCCACCATGTTCTTAAGACAAAAAGAGATGTATTTTTAGTGTTAATTCCTCAGCGCAGCAGCCTTGATGTACTGGTCTGAATTCAGCAAAGTGAACTCTGGTTGGATGTGCTTACAGTGAACCTAGGTAAAGCAACAAGTTCAGATAATTAACCCCCTCCCTCCTCACATATACTCGCCTGTCAAAGTAAAGCCCTACCTGAGCTCAGGTACCGCTGATCGCTCAGCTAGCAATCTTCTCTAAGTGGAGAGCGGTGACTGTTAGTCACTGATCACAGAAGGGATTCCCCCCCTCCCTGCATTTATCTCTGGTCATCCAGCACTAATTTAATGGACAGATGGGGAGGGGGCGGGCACAACTGGCTCTGGTTCTAGAGAGGCATCGGGGTAGATCCCGACAATATTGTTGGAATCTGTCCCAGCTGCAGCGTGGCTCTGCGCTGTCAGCAAATAGGGGGCAGTAGCACGCTAGTTGGTGACATTGGGTCACAGGAGGACATTAGTAAATATACTTCCATGACCCAAAAGAGGACTAAAAGCACCCCGCCCCTCCCAAAAAAAGGATGGCATTAGTTCTCTTTTAAGTGAACATATTGCTTTGTCCTGCCTTTTGGAACTGGCACTCTTTTTAGTGATGACAGCAAGGTAGAGTCAAGCCTTGGGCATGATACCACTTTGTTTTGGTTGCAGATTTTTCCAGAGCCCCGGGAACTATTAGATATCTTCCTGGACCTGAGATCTTGGTGGTACGATGCAAGGTGAGTGTATTTATCATATAGATTGTATCTCCTTGTAATTCATAAACATTTGCTCACTGTAACTACTGACTTGCAGTAAACCTGAACAAGTAATAAACATTTAGCTTTGCCTGTCCAGTGCATAAAAAGCTGGCATCTAATTGGCTAATATGGCTCCTTTGCTGCTTCAATTATTCTTTCAGCTGTGCTTGAGCTCTTTGAAAACTGTAGCATTTCTAACTCTGTTTGTTGGCAGGATGGCTGGGTTGGAATCAGAACGGTGAAACTAAAGAAGAACCTATCAGCTAAGGATTTTTATAATGGTTACCTGCACTCCTCGTTCACACAGAAATCAGGCATGTCTATGGAGGAGTGCCGCTTCACTACACTGTATGTACCAGGAAAACCTAACAAGGCAAAGTAGAAACCTGCCTTTGTATGGAACGTGTGACACCGGCTCCAAGGATGGAAAGTGTGCATGGATCAATGAGGAGCAACGCTGGCTATCCTGCATGCATTAGTCTGGAATAGGAATTGTCTGGATCACCAACAGTGACCAGATTCTGTTTCCCATACTCCAAATTTGTATGCGCTGAATGTGATTCTATAGGCAGCAAGGAGATTCTTGTTTTAAGAAAAGGTCCTAAGAGGGAAAGTGGCAGCTGAGTAATTATTTGTAATGCGGAGTAGATTTCAGACTCTAAAGCAGAGGCCTCCATCTTTGGTAATTTAATGTTATCTACTAAGTATGGCCAGGACCTTAATTGGTTTGTTGTTAAATGTATCTGTCATAGAAAACTTTGGCAGGGATATCCAGCATGCAATCTATGGTTGCTATAGCAAGATAAGGCTGAGCAGAGAGCCACAGTGTTTCCCACATTCCACGTGCAAGGAAAGCATGTTGTTGGCAGGATGTCGGGATCAACCTTGTTACTGTGAAAACTGTACTAAACAAAATGTAAAAACCTATGCAATTATATTTTTTATTTTGGTCACTCCACACCTTTAGCATGATCAGGAAGCAAGCAAACTTCTGATTTTTAATATAATTGGGGAAGGTTCAATTCCCTTTGTAGGGAATATTTCTACAACGCAGGTAAAAACAGCAGTAAAACCTCCACATATCAGGATGTGATATTTGGATGCGTCTCCAATAGGATCCCAAACCATGAAAATTGTCATGACATGGCAAAGGTTCTAACCCTTCCCTGCTCTATTCCAAACTAAAATGTTCTGGCGCCAAAGCGAAAGTCTGGGATGCCAGAAGAGCACAATATAGATAATAATGCTTACTGATAAGCTGGCACAGAGATTTGTCGTGCTCCAGTGATGATTAGATGAGAGACGAGAGTGGTTAGTTTTCAGTCCTTGTAAAATGATTGTGTTCAGAAAGGTTATGAGGCAGTCAGTAATGGAAATGCACTATGAATAAACTTCTTTCCACCTTTTTAGATTTTCTGATGATCATGTTCAGAATACATGTGCCAGTTTTAGTAGACATGTGTCCAGCAAGTTGTAAGTATGCTTAAAATCAGAAGAAAATAGCAGAACAATAAATCTTCTTTAATAAAAGATTTAATTAAAATGCAGCATTCTTGTACCATTGTGTTTACATAGGAAGAATGATCGGACTAGCCGAGAGCTTACCTGATCGTAATAAATACATTATTGTTTCTTTGTATAAAACACCAGTGTTAGAACTTATCTTTTTGGCATAAAAGTGAGGTTTAGATAGTAGTAAAAGTTGAATGGCACTCCCAGTTCCACATTGACCAGCAATGAGTCCTCATTAGAAGTAATGAGCAGCAGTAACGTGGTGCTTTAAAAAATATCCCCTCAGGATGGTTTCACCAAAGGAAGATACCACTGGAAGAGAGAAGGCAACAAACATCACACAGAATGGAAGAGGAAAAATGTAAAGGTGTTTTTACAGAACCAAATATCAGTACGGCAATCCTGTCCTTGTGTAGGACAGGTCACCTTAGATTAAGGGATGCCTGCTTCCAGGCCTACTCAGATCCTTCGTCAGGCTTTATACTATTTTATATATACAAAATTGTATAAAGCCTGATGAAGAGATCTAATGAATCCTGAAAACTTGCAGCAAACTTTCTGCCATGTAGGAAAGACTAAAGCAATAGGCATTTTAAAAGAGACAGGACAACATACAGGTGAAACTCGAATAATTAGAATATCGTGCAAAGTTCATTTATTTCACTAATGCAACTTAAAAGGTGAAACTAATATATGAGATAGACTCATTACATGCAAAGCAAGATCATTCAAGCCGTGATTTGTCATCATTGTGATGATTATGGCTTACAGCTCATGAAAACCCCAAGAACCCCAAATCCACAACCTCAAAAAAGTAGATTATTACATGCAATCAATAAAACAAGGATTGTACATAGAACAATATCGGACCTCTGAAAAGTACAAGCATGCATATGTACTCAGTACTTGGTTTGGGCCCCTTTTGCAGCACTTACTGCAATTACTTTTGCACGATATTCTAATTATTCGAGTTTCACCTGTATGTGTTTCCTTTGGTATAGAGAGAAATGGTTGAAAGCTGAACTCCAGGTATGAATCTTTATGTATACTTACATCCAGCTGCTCGGCCCAGTGCCATACAGGACCTGGAAGATTGCTGTAAAGCAATGTATTAGCTCCGGATGCTACAGTGCTTTACAGGATACCCGTAGTCCTTCCAGTTATAAAATATGCATACTAACATTGGGCCAAACTGGACCAATGTAAACAAATATTTATACCTGGAGTTCACCTTTAAAGTGACACTTAACTCAGGAGTTAAATCTTAAAAATGCATTCAGGTACATTAACTATTAGCAAAAATGTATCTTATTTGTGTATCACTCGGCTGTAGCTCCTCAAATCTGAATTGGTGCTGACACTGTCCTTCCTTCTGGAGGGGGGCTACTTGTGTTCCCCATGGTCCCTGTGTGTGTTGTAAAGTAGTCACAGCTCCAAGCTCACTCATGTTTAGATTACTAATTTGTACTGAGATTGTAGTCCATCATAGGAGGGAGCTTGGAGCGGTGATTACTTTACAACACACACAGGGATCATGGGGAACAAAAGTAGTCACCCTCCAGAAGGAAGGACAGTGTCAGCACCAATTCAGATTTGAGGAGCTACAGCCGAGTGATACACAAATAAGGTAAAGTTTTGTTAAATCTTAAAAATGCCCCAAATTTTAACTCCTGAGTTTATTGTCTAAGTTTGTTACAGGCCAACTTGAATTTTTTAACCAAAATGGCGATGGAATTTGTCATTCTGCTTTAAGACCAGTAAACATACCAATATGGAATATGGGACTTTTCAAGGTAAGTAACAGAAAAACCATGACCTCTATACAATTGTGGTCCTGGACTTGAGCGCATTACCTTACAAGATGAAAGGCCTTAGTGCTAAACACTTGAGTGTAACAAATGTTGTGTTTAGCTTTGCGTATCATTACCTCTTCTGACATCCCAGCTGATTTCCTGCCCTCAGTGTTGAATGGCGGTTTCAAGTATCCTCTGAAAAATTGTGGTACAAGTTCATGGAATGTTGATAAGCAGTCCTAAGCAAAGAGAAAAATGCACCATAAGCTTGAGGTTGAGCTTTCATAGAAACGTTTGGATTATTGTATTGATAGATTATCTGATGCCAAACTGGTACGACAGGGCTTGGCAACCTTGGTACGCCAGCTGTTGTGGAACTACATAAAGCATTGCAAGGCCCTGACAGGCACAGGTATGACTGGCAGAGGGATGATAGGATTGGTAGTTTCATCGCATCTGGAGTGCTGGAGTTGCCTACTCCTGAGGTAGAGTATTGGTAAACTGGTGCGCTACACAGCCCTGTTCTGTCACACACAATACATGAAGTACTATAATAAACAAGAACCGCCAACACCATTGAAGATATAAAATAGTGACTCTCGGGGATATTAGAAAAAGCACAATTAGTATTATTCCTTCAAACTGTTTAGCTTAATACTAATGAATGTTTCAAAAGGTATTGGGATGAAATCATTCTGTCACACAAAATAAATGCCTGTCATTCTCTGGCTGGTGAAGCATGATCTTTGGGGTCCATAGGTGACAGAAGTCTAATAGACCCCTGATGTCTCCATAAAGAGGACCTGTCACTGTATCTGCATTATCACGTAGGGGACTTCTAAGTGCAAAAAAAAATATGTTGCAGATTACCACGAACGTTGGAGTAAGAGCAATAATGCTGGGGCCATCACCCGCAATGCTAAATTAGTCAGTGGTAAAAGCTTTTAAAGTGTCTCCTATGGGCAATGTCGTATTTTTTGCCATTTCACAGGTGCGCACCATTGTAAGGCTTGACATGTTTGGTATCTATTTACCCAACACAACCCCATCTTTTATATTTTACCAAAAATTGGGTATTATAAAAGATGTGCAAGTAGAATATGTAAACTTATGATAGAGATTTGCAACAGACAAATCCATACATAGAAACATATCTAACACCATTATGTGGGAGATAAACATGGTCCATATTCCTGGTAGGTGATGAATAGTTGCCACACAGCACCGAATCACCGAGTGTTGCTCAGACTTACCCGCTGCTCTTTGGCACAGATGTAAGTGAACCACTTCAGACCAGCTGCTACGTGAGTGATTTCATCAGTGTAGATGACTTCCAGTACCCGGGCTGAACCTTCATCCCCCTGAGCTAGGAATCGCTGTAATGTCTGCGGGTGGACGTCTAGACCTCTAAAAATAGCACACAATTAATACCCCATTATTTACTGAGAACAGAACTCGATGCGCACACAGTAATCCTGCAGATTGCCAACATAATCCACAAACACAATGAACATACATTAGTCAAAGAGATCTGCCCGATGCAGGCACCACAGGGTTCCAGCCATCAACATGTAGGCACGAGGGTGCCATTCACAGACTCTGGCCACAACATTACCCAGGAGAAAAGGATTTTGCACCTTTTGTTATTTATACAATGTACACCAGTCCCCATTTCATGGACCACACACAGCAAAATATTAACGTGGAAGTCTTTTTGTTTTTTGTCAACGGGAAACTAAACCTAGGGGTTAAATCTTAAAAATACACACACACACACCTATCTATCTATACACACACGTATATATAAATGCATACATATACATACACGCACACTCCTGAGCATTAAGGATAGCTTAAAGGTGACACTTAATTTAGGAGTTAAATATAAAAATGTATTCAAGTCCCTCAAATTAAAAAATGTATCTTATTTGTGTATCACTCGGCTGTAGATCCTCAAATCATCTCTGAATTGGTGCTGACACTGTCCTTCCTTCTGGAGGGTGGCTACTTTTGTTCCCCATGGTCCCTGTGTGTTGTAAAGTAGTCACCGCTCCAAGCTCGCTCCTGTGATGGACTACAATCTCAATACAAATTAGTAATCTAAACTTGAGATTGTAGTCCCTCACAGGAGCGAGCTTG